CAGATTGGCAGCCCTATTTCAGAACTGCCGACTACTCCAAGTTAGCCGAGATGACAACACCCACGCCGACGCGTTGGCTAACCTGGAAAGTTCAATACAGATTGGAAAAACAAAAACAATTATGATCGACTATATGTCAGGCCCGAGCATAGAACCAGAGAGCACAGAACAGGAAGCAATGTGTGTGGGCATGGGGCCAAGCTGGATGGATGCAATTGTTGCATTCCTGAAAGAAGAAAAGCTGCCAGAAGATCATAAGGAGGCACACAAAGTCAGATTGAAATCAGCAAGATTCTGTTTAACAGCAGATGGACACCTCTACAGAAGGTCCTTCACTGGACCCTTTTTAAGGTGCGTACACCCTTTGCAGGTTAAAGATTTCCTATATGAAATTCATGAAGGAATTTGTGAAAACTACGCTGGGGGCAGATCATTAGCCCACAGGGCCATTACCCAGGGGTATTGGTGGCCCTACATGCAAAAGGATGCTGAAGCCTACGTGAAGAAGTGTGAACAATGCCAAAGGTTTGCACCTTTGATACATCAGCCAGTTGCTGACCTGAACCCAGTATCCAGCCCTTGGCCGTTTGCCCAATGCGGCATGGACCTTGTTGGCCAACTTCCCCAGGCAACTGGGCAGAGAAAATACTTGCTGGTAGTAATAGATTACTTTACAAAGTGGATAGAGGCAGAACCTCTTGCCAAAATCCGAGATGTGGATGTCAAGAACTTTATATGGAGAAACATCATCACCAGATTTGGGATTCCGACAATGGAACATAGTTTGACAGCAAACTTATCAAGAACTTTTGTGCAAAATTCAAGATCAAGAATTACTTTTCAACACCAAGCTTTCCCCAAAGCAATGGGCAAGCAGAAACATCCAACAAAGTAATTTTGGATGGAATAAAGAAGAGGCTGCAGGCAACAAAAGTGTAACAACCCTCATACTGTTTACTGATTAAGGACTGATTGATTACCGATAATCACCGATTACTGTTAAAGGAAACGGATAATGACTGATAACTGACTGATAATTGAACTGATTAAAAGTACTGAACTGACTGACCGAAACTGGAAACCGAATTGATTGAGTATATGTTAGTTAAATTGCATTATATCTGTTTGACTGTATGATTATCTGTTCATGTTTATATGTTTAAACTGCTAATTGAAGGCCATATCGGCGGCCGAATTAGAAACCGATTGATGTTCCGTGACCCTCATAATTAATGTGATTTTATGGTATAATTA